ATTCCATTTGAGTCCTCCACTTTGACTAAACAATCTTTTAAAAATGCTTTTAAAACTTCTTTATGTCGGGGGCTGGAGAGATGGCTCAGAGGTTAAGAGCACTGACTGTTCTTCTAGAGGTCCTGAGTTCAATTCCCAGCAACCACATGGTGGCTCACAACCATTTGTAATGAGATCTGGTGCCTCTTCTGGCATGCAGGCAAACATGCAAGCAGAACACTATGTACACAATAAATAAATAAAATCTAAAAAAAAAGACAAAAACAAAACAAAAAACTTCTTTATGTCTACAGGCATTTTGCCTGCATATATATATATATATATATATGGTCCATATATATATATATATATATATATATGGACCATAATCATAGGTTACTCTACAGGTCAATATATTTGAAAAGGAGTTTGTTTGTTCTCCCTCCGTGGGGCTCTGTTTGTTTGTTTTGATGCTGGGGTTGAACCCAGGAAATCATGCATGCTAATTACTGACAAAAGGTTTTAATATGATGTACTTTGGGGTTTTTTTTTTGTATGATCCTTTTGAAATGAGATAACTTAAACACACTTTATATATTAATTGTACTTTTTTAATCGGCCTCCTTGAGCATCCTTCATTTTTACGCTGTTTATTGAACCACTACTACTTTCAGGAATGATTATAATAACCTGCAGACTGGGTTGAAAGGCCATTACATTTGATGGAATTTGAATTCCTGTCAAAGCTATTATTTGTTTCAAATATGAGCAATATGGTTTCAGTCCTTTTACCAGGCCATGTTCTCCCTTTCTATTGATTTCCTGCCTCTATAAGAGCAATAAATCTTTTTAGGGAGTAGTTAACAGGAAAAGGCAGTTCCACCTTGATAACTACTACTATGGTATAGATACATATACAATATCACGGGCATAATATTCAAGAAACTGTGTTAGGACTTTGAGAATCTAAAGTTGGCAATTTCATCTCTCATAATGCAAAGAAATGTAAAGTATTTATACATCATAAAGACAATGTTAAATATAAGGTCATTTATTATTTTACTAAAAAGGAATCCAGATAAAGACAAGCTCCAGAGTTGATATTCAGGCTCACGATGCCTCTGGCCTTCCTGACTAGCTGTCATCAATGGGTTGATAGTTTACATTCAGAGTTACATATGAATGTCCACAACAGCTGTATTACCTATAAAACAATTCTGTTCTTGAACAGTCACATCCAAAGGCAGAAAAACAGCAGGTTTTCTTCAACTGCACCTTCTCACTGAGGAATAAATGCTTCCTCAAAACTCTCTAGGTTCCCTCCTTCATTTCTGATTGCTTCAGATTGTATCATGTGCCTGTACCATAGCTGAAGAAAAGTGTGCAAGTTTTGTTTATTCTTAGGTGGGCAATTAATAGTGTCTACCACAAAGAATAATACAAGATCACTGGCTGTGGAGGTAAATTAGAGAATCCCAGCATTTAGTAGGCTGAGGCAAGGGGATCATAAGTTCCAGACTTGCCTGGGCTATACAGAAGGACCCTGTCTCAAAAAGAGAAATCACAGTCCTCTTTCATGAAAATTTTTTAGCTGGGCATAGCAACACATACCTTAATCTCAGCACTCAGGAGGCAGAGGTAGGTAGATCTCTGTGAGTACCTGGGCAGCCAGGGCTTCGTAGATAGACCCTGTCCCATAAACAAAAAGAAAAGAAGGAAGGGAAATTAAATTTAAAGAAAGATTTTTGCAAATGAGTTGAGAATACTTTTAAGTGTAGGTTCAATTCCCCATGTTTGGGGGAGTGGAATCTCTGAAGGCAAACATATGACGCAAGAACTTGATCAATAAGAAAGAAGCTTCAGAGAAGAATGAAGCCAGGCACACATTGATGTAGAACGAAAGCTTCACTGGATACATCTGAGTCCTTTCTCTTTGGCCAGGAAGATAGAGAAGAAGAAAGGAGAAAGGGGGCAAAAGGGGAGGCACCAAACTTTAAAACATCTGAGGTCAGAATTATATTATACTAGCCCTCTTCCTAATAGTCCAGCTGTCTAGGTGAAGCACCAGGGAGAAATTTATTCATAAAGTTCTGGAGGAAATACAAAGTAGTTAGAATCCTCAGATGTTACTCTGAAGGCTATTTCAGGAAAGAAAAAAAAAAGAGCCACTCTCACTTTTGTTTGCAAAAGCATTTGAGAAATAGTTTCTTGTTACTGTTTTTGTGTGGTAGGACTCTGGGTTACTTTAGGGGAATTCTATCTAACCTGACAAGCTCCTTCAAAACAACTTCAATTTCTCCCTTTTCTTCTTCCTACTCCTCCTCCTCTTCTTGTTCCTCTTCCTCCTCTTCTTCTCCTTCTCCCTCTTCCTCTTCTTTAGAGACAGTGTCTTCTGATGAAATGTAGCCCCAACTGAAATAATTGTGTAAGAACCATCAGACTTGGCTGGTTTTGTTTTATATAAGGATTTGCCAGGTAGTCCAGGCTGGTCTCAAACTCTCCATCATCCAGTATCAGCCACTGGAGTGGTGGGATTGGAGACGTGGGCCATTCATGTGATTCAAAACATTTTTAAAACTCAAATATCTACGTTATGACTCAGTATTTACCTTTTCATTTTAGGTATACATTAAAAATCCTGCCACTTGTCTTGTGATGTGGCATATGCCTTTAATCCCAGCATTCCAGAGGCAGAGGCAGGCAGATCTCTGTGAGTTGGAGGTCAACCTGGTCTACAGAGTGAGTTCCAAGACAGTCGAGGCTACAAAGAAAAACCCTGTCTCTAAAAAGCAAAAACAAAAACAAAACAAAAAATCCTGTCACTTGGTTGAGAGGAACTGCAGGGAAGTAATTCTTATTTTTTATTTTGTATTTCTTTATTATTGATTTGGTGCTAGGGTTGAACCCAAGACTTTAAGCATGCTTTTTTTTTTTTTTTTTTTTTTTTTAAAGTGCTTTCTATAGCCCTGAGCTATTCCTGACCCCAAAGAGTACATTTTGGTAGAGAAGGTTCTAAGATACAATCGTGTCCTTGGTAGGTCAGAATAGATGACACTTTCAAAACTTCTTTTCTCTCCAAATTTATTTTTGGTCATCCTGTATTTGAAAAAGTTCTTGTTTGGCCTTGTCATTAAACGTGTATAAGATACTATACATAGACCTTTTTTTATTAACCTTAGAAGATTTTGATATGTTTTTTCTTAATTCTTTTCAATCTTTTCAAAGTGTTTTGAACATGAACTTATGTAGCTCAGGCTGGCCTCAAACCCACCTATGTAGCTGACTATGATCTTAAGCTCCTGCTTCCGCTTTCACCAGGTAGAATCACAAATGTGGTTGATGTCTTTATTGCAGAACAGAAATATCTTTTTTAGATCTTCTCCCACAGGATGTTGAAGAATGGCTGAATTCATGCAGATGCCAAATTCTCTAATTCAATGGTTCTTAACTCTTTCATCACCTGAGTAGACTTTATTTAGAACTCTCGTCCCTCCTTTGATACAAGGTTTCATAAGCAGGCTAACTTTGATTTGTAGCTCCAGCTGGCCTTGAACTTAGATCCTTCTACCTCTACCTTCCAAGTGCTACGATAATGGGAGTGTACCACTGTGCATGGCCCTAGGAGTTTCTAGGGAACCTAAAGAGAAAATTTAGGGAAACATGTATGCTAGAAAAATCTTTCTACTGTCAACCCATATCCCCACCTCTTGCTTTGTTTTGAGGCAGGATCTCACTCTGTATCTTAGCTGGAATTCACGCTGCAGCTCATGCTAGGACCTGCCAGAAGTCTCCTGCCTTGACTTCCTGAGGACTGGGATTTTACAGCTGTGAGGCACTAGAGGAGAATAACTGGATTTACTAGAGATGCAGGATCCTCTATTAGCAGCTAACATTAATAGGATATACTTGTTAAAATAAATGGATCTGTATCAAAATACTATTATTAACTAAATTTCATGCTTTACTCAATTTATTATGTTTCTGTCTGATAATCTTTGTTTTCAGAAATCCCATTTAGATGAAAACTTACATTTGTGTCCACATTATCCTTAGTTCATATTTTCTTGTGGCATTCACATTCTTATTGGACCATGAATCAGGTTGGCAATTTGCAGAAAAATGGAAATGCTTAGAATGTCTAGTTTAAGGGAGGTTCACTCAAGCATACCCAGAGGTCCTGCTTTTTAAAAGCGAATGGATCTTTTAAAGATTCCTTCCGCAGATTTAAAATCTTGTTGAGGCTCCACTCTAGTGTGTGACATCTTCCAAAGGGGCAATGTGAGCAGTCGTTACTTATCTGTAATATGAGGGTTTGGTTTATATAACATCTAAATCCATTTCTATCACATAGAAAATGGTCACCTAACGTTTGGACACCTAAGAACAAGGGCACTCAACAGAAGATCAAGGGCCATTGGGCACCAGGGAATTAGAAGGGAAGTAACAGGGGTTCAAATAAAAAAGCCAGGAATTCATTTCATACTATGTGGATTTTGCAAGTCATTTCCTCCGATTGGGCTCCAGTTTCCTCACCCACAAAATGGAGAAGACCTGTTTCTGGTAGTTATGAAACTCCACGGAGCAATGGAGTGGAATGTATATAGGAAGATGCCGAGCAAGGAATTGCGCTCAAAGATAGAGCAGAACTAAGGAAGGCGCAGTAACGTTAGGGGCTACCAAGGTGTACCTAGCTAAACCTTTGCACAACCCAACCCCACCCACGCCTGCTCGGCCCTTCCACCTCGGTTCCGGCTCCACCTCCGTCCCACCGTCCTTCCCCCTCCTCCCTCCGGCGGCCGCCCGGGCCTGGGTCCCCACCCCCACCCTCCCCACCCCCGCCAGCGCGAAGGTCGGGCGCGCTCCCGCGCTGCCACCTCACTCAGCGTCCGCCTGCTCGCCGCTTCTTCTGATTGGCTCAGCTTGGCAGTGACGTAAGCCTTCCTTACGTGCTCCTCCCCCTCCCTGTCACCCACCCGGAACTCGGTCCGCCTCCTCCTGGCTGCTCCAGACGCCCGTGGAAGCCGCACGGGAGGAGCCGGGAGAGCTGGGAAACCAGGAAGACACTGGCGGCGGCGCGCGCGCGCACGTACGCACGCAGCCCGGCCGGCGGACGGCAGGCGCGCGCCCGTCTCGCCCCGCCCCGCGCCGCGCCGCGCCAGAGGCTCGGGCACTCGGGTTCGGCTGCGGCGGCGGCGGCTGCCGTGGGAGTCTGTGCGCTGCGCTACACTCCCCGCCGCGTTTGCGGCGCCCGCTCGCCGCCTTCCTCCTCTCGGCCTCGGCGCCGGACCCCGGCAGCCTCCGCCCGGCCCTGCGGGGGCCGAGAGGACTCGGCGGCTGCCCTTCCGCTCGACCCTCTGGGAGAGGTCTGTGTGCCGCGGCGGCGGCGGCTCCTCCTCCGGCTCCATTATGTCCGCGGGCGGAGACTTCGGGAATCCGCTGAGGAAATTCAAGCTGGTGTTCCTGGGAGAGCAGAGCGGTGAGTGCGCGGCTCCCCGCACCGCCCCGCCCCGCCCCGGTGCGGCCCCGCAGCACGGAGGCTCCCCGCCGGCCTACCCGGCCCTCACCCGCCCAGCCTCCGGTCCGACGTCCCTTTCTTCCCCGGCTTTCTGGTGCCCCACCCTTCTTCCTTGCTCCTTTTCCGGGTCCCACTCCGGGAAGCCCCCCACTCTGGGAATGGGCCCCTCTTCAAGCTTGGCTGGAAGAGAGTGGGATCTGGGCGTTGTTTTCCCCTGAGGCTCGTGCGGGTCTCCCGGAAGGTGGGAAGTGGTGGCCGTACAAAATAAGCAATTTCCTCCCAATTTTCCCTAAATGAGGAATTTGTTAGGGTTAGAGAGTTAATATATTCAACTTGAGGCGACTTGAAAAGAGGTGGCCTTGTCAGTGACAGGTTTTGTCCCTTGGTTGGGACTAGTTGGAAAACCTAAATTTTCTTTTGGTTTTCATCATTGACAATTCTTCTGGCACTATTGATGCCTTTCCAGTCTCTGCCAAATGCTATGTCATGATCAGTTTACTTCGATTTTTTCTCCCCTCACTTCCATTTTTTTCTCGTTTCAACATGAAACAACATTTGAGTATCTTCATATGATACAAGCAAGAATTAACGGGTGAAATGTTAATTATTTATTTTTCTTCAGTATTTTCCAACTACGTGTTTATGATGCATATGAGAAAGACTTAAAATCATGACCATCTTTGTTTTGTAGGGTAGTAGTAAAGACCCATCATCTAGCTCTCTAAATTAGATTGGAATACCACTTGAGCTGATTGTTTTATACCTATTATTTCGTAGGGTCTTGTGAGTGAAATTGTAATGTCATTTACTTGGTCGAGGTTCTGCGGTCGCTGTACTCCCCATTAGATTCAAGGTCCTAATTTTGTGATGGTTGTCATTAAGATTTACCTGGACAATAATTCAGAGAGCATAATCTTTTTTTCCCTCCACATTTTTTCATGACAACTATTAAAATTCAGACACTGTGGGATTAGTTCCAAGTTATCAAGCATTGAATACCTCCTAGGTATCTTAGATGAGGTTATGGAAAACATTATTTCGAGTAGAAACTGAAAAAATATTCTTAGGTTTTATTGTTAGCATGAACTATTTATTCCTATTGGGAAGTTAACACTGGTTGTAATTTTGTCTTCAGCTGAACCTGAGAAATAATTTTTCTTGTTGCATGTTTAGATTTATCTTCCTTACAACCTTGTAGGGTGGAATGGTTATGTCTCCCTCCTGTTTGCTTATGGATATTTAAGTGTAGACATTTCCAGGCCAGCAAAATGGCTCAGTGAGTAAAACAGGTTCTCACCACACTTAACAACCTAAATTCAAAGAAGAACCAACTCCCAAAAGTTGTCCTCTGATCTTCATTAGCATCCACCTACAATAAAAAAAACCCATAAATATAAAAGTGAAACCTTTAAAATAAAATATGTTTTCTTAGATGAGTAACTTGATGAAGTCTGTGAAGTTGATCCTGATCAGCTACTGTTATAAGGCAGTTTCAGGACAGTGCCGTACAGAAAATACATAAAAAGTTCATTGGTTATTATTAATAAATAGGTTTGAATGTACTTCTTGTGCAGTCTAGGGAGATGTTGACTGCCTCATATGGTGTATAGGACTACTTAGTTTTCACGAAATCTATTAATCTTTCTATTGAAGTTTTTAGCATGAGGAGAGAGCTTACCTTATAACTATATATAGGTTTCCTTTGAATTTCTTGAGTGTTTATGTTGTAAATATTAGTTTTATGACTTCTAGTAGTTTCTTTTTCATTACTTTTTCTTTTTAAGGTAAAGTTATATTCTGGCAGCCCAGACTATCTTCAAACTTGGAATCCTCCTGCCTCAGCTTCTGAGTGCTGGGATTTCAGTGGTGAGCTACTGCACCCATTTTTATTTTCATTTCTTTTTTTCCTATTTTGAAATTAATTTCTTTTTGAGGCGGTCTCATGTAATAACGCTAGCTATAAACTATGTAACAAGATTTGCCTTGAATATCTGATGCTCCAGCCTCCACCCAAGGGCTGGAATTGTAGGTGTTTGCCACCATGGTTGGTTTTATGTGGTGTCAGATGAGCACTATACTGAGCTATATCCTCAGCTATTAGTAAATTAATTTTTTTTTAAGTTGGCAAGCAAAGTAATGTGTTTCAATACAGCTTTTTCATATTCTTGTGTGTGTGTGTGTGTGTGTGTGTGTGTGTGTACAGAGAGAGATAAGTCTTACTGTGTAGCCCAAGTTGGCATTGAGGGTATGAGATCTTCTTGAATCAGCCTGTCAGTCAGGTTCTGTCATTTTTTACTTTAGATAAACTTATCAACTATTCTGTTTTATGCATTCCCAGCCTTCCCAGGTGACTACTAAATAATGCCTTTTTAGATTTAGCTATGTGTGTATGTGTTTCTATAATCAACACAGTTTTAGATGTACAGGAAATTGGTAAAATAGTACAGAAGATACCTGTGCATCCTCATCATGTCCAGAATACATTTGTGAAAATTATTGGCTCAATATTGATTTTTTTATTATTATCTAAAATTCATTAATTACTTGGGTTTCCATAGTTTTAAAAAACTCAATATTCTTTTCTGCTTTAACTTTCAAGATACAACATTACATTCGATTGTTATATCTCCTTAGATTTAACCTGCTTGCTTTAAGATTATGTTTGCATACTTTTTTCTGTTTAGAACTGAGGTTAATGACCTTTTGAGGTCATCATGTCGCTAAGTAATGTCCTGGAACTAGCTCTTGTAGACCAGGCTGGTCTCGAACTCACAGAGATCCGCCTGCCTCTGCCTCCCGAGTGCTGGGATTAAAGGCGTGTTGCTGTGAATTATTTATTTTTCAGTCTGCTAGAATTCACAAAAGATTATACTCTGAGGCATAGCCTTCTTTGTTTCCGTAATAGTATTCACCACATTTAGAATATTTTGTTTGTTTTGGCTGTTTTCCAAAGCGGAACAGAATGCAGGTTCCGTAAGATACAAATTGTTATCTTTTTATGCTCATTGAACTGTTGCTTAGTGTAGAACCAGTCTCATAGTAGCTGCTCAGAAATATTTGGTGACAGAATAATAATTAAATGTAATAACAGTCAAAGCTAATTGCCTATATTTTTTGTTATGATAAAAAATCTACATTTTCCCCTCATAAAATTAATAGTTTAGTAATTACATTGCATACTTACATTATTTGATTATTTACAAGTATATACTACAGATGCTGGAGTTTGGATAGAGGAACTAGTAATTTAAAGGCTTAACCATTTCCCTGAAAAAAGCACCTATCTGCATATTACACCTTTTTTTCTTTTTGAGTTAAAAGGATTTTTTTGTTAAAGCTATTAATTTATTGGCTATTTGTATAATATATAGAAGTATGTCAAATATGCAGATGCTATAGTCGTGTAATTTTTATTTAGCTTTTCAAATGAAAGATACTCTGCTCAATAATGAAGATGAGTTGTTTCAGTACTTGACAGATCTAGTTAATGGCAATTTTCTCTTCATCTTAGTAGTATATGATAAAGGAATGTTAAACTACAGAATTCCTAAAGTTTCCTTCAGGAGACTCTTTCCTTATTATGAGGCTATTGTCTGTAGGTTCAGATGGACTTCTAGAATTCTTAGTAAGTGGTTTATGATGGATTTTACTGCAAACGTAATTGTTATGATTATTAGGAAATGATGACAAGGAGACTTGTATACCTAATACTGCTTTTTTTCACTTTGTATCACCTCCCCCCCCCCCATCATCTTTTTGAACTACAATGTATTAGATAGGGAAAAAGTGTCAGAGGCTAGTAACATTGAACACTGTAATAGTACAATAGAGGTCACCCTGTTGTGTTGGGTATTATGTATTCTTCTCTGAAAATTCCTTTTGGATAAGATCTGTTAAACCACTTAAAGTTTTTCAGTAAAGTACATAAGTGTTTACCAAGCACTGCATTTTCCAGACTTTCAGAAAAACGTTAACATTTAATTAATCTTCATAATAACACTATATACAATAAGTCCTGTCTATTTTTATTCTATAGATAAGGAAACTGAAACATAAAAAGATGTTGAGTAATTTGCCAAAGATCAGTGGCCGGTACCAACATAGGAAACTTGTACTTTGTGCTCTCAATTACTACTATCAAGTTTTAAGGTTTAAAAATAAGATACAGAAAATATTTCCATTAGGACTCGTAATTTGCAAAATGAAGCTGCAAGAAGGACAAAATGACAAATGCAGTAGCTCTCAAACTGATCTACTGACCCCAGAGATCTCACAAGAGTCTGCAAGGGGAGAATCTATAAGCCCCATAGGGGTCCAGAATATTAAGATATTATGTGCTTTTCTACTCTTATTACCTTAAGTGTATAGTGTGGTTTCTGCGCGCCTACCTGATATGTGTCAGCAGCAACTGTACTTCTCTTCGGTAAAACATTAAAGAGTTTTGCAAATAGTGTAAAACAGTGCCACCCTCACTAAATTTTTGTTTGTAAAATGATTGTTTTCATAAAATTTATGTTAACATGCAATAAGATTTATTACTATTTTTAGATTTACTAAGTCCTTTTAATTTTTCATAGTTAGATTTCAGTAAATACTAATGCAATCTACATAAACAGAATTCTTCAGTGTCCTCAGCAATTTTTAAGAACTACCAATCCAGCCACAAATGGTAGTACTTGCCTATAATCTCAGTATTTAGGAGGTAGAGGCAAGAGGATCAAGAATTCCAGGTTTTATCGACAGAACCATCTTGCTGCCCCTACCTTATTTATGTCAAGGTTTCCCACTGAACCTAAAGTTTCCCAATTTCTCTAGACTGGATGGCCAGCAAGGTCCAGGAATCTTGCTGTCTATGCATTTACAGTGCTGGTATTACAGGCATACACCAATGTACCTGCCTTTTTTTTTTTTTAATGTCCAACTCAGGTACTTAATGCGCAAGTGCTTTACTAAGCCATTTT